GGATTCATCACCAGATTGGCAAGTTTTCGAGAGATGCAGGAAGCAAGATTTGTCCTGATTCCGTTCGTTTGGAGATAGTCTAGATTCTAGAGTCTGAAGTCTAAACAGTTTAAACTAATGCAGCAGCACACTACAACCTTTCGGTGTCAGGTTCATCGCCTTGNNAAAGTGGCATCTGCGAAGCGCGAGACGGCACCAAGCTTAGTTGCTGACAGCGCAGCAGCAAGCCCCGGGGCCATGCTAGGGCCAGACTGCTAGACCCAAACTCAAAAAGGCTCTTTCTGATATGGTATATAATATATAATATATAGTATATAGTATATAGTTAGTAGTATATAGTAGTATATAGTAGTATATAGTAGTATATAGTAGTATATAGTAGTATATAGTATATATGGATCTATGCTTGGACTTTGCTGAGGCCTTGTTGCAGACCCACATGGACGAGCGGGACACCCAGCGAGCAGCGGAGGGCCTGACAGTGCGGAGCCCCACGCCCGAGCAGGAGCCGCTAAGCAAAGCACTGCCCCTACAACCTAAACATAGTAAAGTAGGAGAAAAAAATATAATGTAATGTAACATAATATAACATAACAAAACATTTGCCTGCTTTCAGAGGAGTTCCGGGACAGGTACTTCGATAAGATGCTTGGCAAGAAGCCGCGCCATCTTTTTGCGGTGGTGGCTTGCTCATGTCAAGTGTGTTTTTGTGTTGAGGTTGAAGCAGCAGGGTGTTTTCCGGCGACCTTGGCTTCCGTTCGGCGAGTACCTGGTGTCCAAGCAAAAGGGTGGCGAGGCCTACGCCAGGCAGCTTAACTCAAGTGGGCATAAATAAGCCCCTCAGCACGAAATTCATGGTGTTCGTGCCGAATGGAGGCGTCATGACAAGCCGCGCCCAAACCTTCTTGCAACTTCTACGTCGTCCACCTCTTGAGCGCTTGAACGAGTTCCTGACAGCTGGACCACATCTACTTCCTACGTCACGACGACGAGATGCACGAAGAAGTCTGCAAGCTGCCATGGGGCCGGGGACCTGCAGAGGTGATGATAAAGATAGCCCAAAGCACACTCCTGTGCAATGTCCTGCTCGGCAGATCTTGGTATCCGGTGTCGGGTTTCATGCCGTTGACGGAGCCAGTGGGATCGGCCACGAGGCTGCTGGCTGCTTCAGCTGAAGCGGTTTGTGCCTGCGCAGGGTTGCTCGGACAAGCGACTGCTTGCATCTGCTTTTCATGTTTCCAGCTTCGATGGGAACCGTTTGTGGTTGCGATGTGAGAAAATGTGAAGAGAAAGATCCTGTTGTTTGCCTTTCCGCAGAAGCAGCACTTCTGGATTGCAAGCTTGGTCAGCCCTGCTGAACTGACATGTGGCGGCTCAAGGAAGTAGGTACAGGTGTGAAGGTGAAGTGTGACTGTGGAACCTTGCGGAGGTCCAGAGCTCGGCATCAAGTGCAACCGGTCGGTTTTGCAAGTGAACTTTGAGCCAGTCGCCAAGGTCTTCACACTTCTTCGTGGTGCCGCATGCGGCTAAAGGGACGAGGCCACCTACCTTGAACTGGCAAGTGGCAGCGTGCAAGCTCTTGAAATCGCCAGCAGGTGCTCTTTGCCTTGTCCTTGGTTTCCTGGTGCAACATGCGGTGGGAACTACAACAACGACAACTACAGAAACCATGACGTCCACATTCACGTCCACCCAGACAGTGTCCAGCACGTCTACATCTTCGACTGCCAGCCAGACAGTCACAACGACCGCCACTACATCTTTTACTCAGACACAGACAGAGTCCACTACCGTGTCTTCCACTCAGACGATGACAACCGGAACTTCCACTACAAGTACAGGGACATCCGCGACGTCGACAAGCTCTACACAGACGACGTTCACCACCACTGCCACCACATCAGTCAGTGCCACCACATCAGTCAGCATCACGACGACCACGTCAGTCCCAGGCGTCGAGTATGTCAACGGAGCTGCTTGGACGCGTGCTGACAGCGACTGACAGTGACTGACCCTGGCCTCCTTTCCGTATCGGCTTTCCCACATGCGCTGGTGCTCTCAGGCTGTGCAGGCGCAGGTCGAGAACTGCACGGAGCTCCAAACAGATCAAGCCAAGACTGGTCTCCAGGCGAGTATCGCACAATTGGCTCAGGCCCCGTCTTTGATTCGGATGCTGTCGAGCCGGACCCTGTGTGTGAGTGCCGCGAGGATGTTCATGGTACATGTCAGCAGTCGGTCAGCCAGTCGGCCAACGAGTCAATGGGAAGTGCAGACCGTCCTCTTTGTTTTTCTTATTGTATTTCTGTGCTGGTAGGTGCCTGCAGACAAAGTGAGCGACGAGCCTGCATAAAGCTTGCAAGTCATGAGTGTTGGATTCCTGCCTGGCACTTGCAGCTACTAGCCGAGGCATCGTTGTGCGCACCTCATGGTGTCGTGAGTATCCAAAAGTCTGTGTAGAGACTGTGCCACGAAGCGTCTCAGGCCGTAGCGTGCAATGGGCGACGTCTGGAATTTCTCGAAACCAGACGACTAGCCACGGCTTTGAAGCAGCACTAGGAGGGAGACAGCCGCGGAGTCAGTTTGCAACTGCATTAACGGCCTGGCGCTTTGCAGAGGTTCCTGCCGACATATCTTACTATGTTGAAGTCCCAGCTGGCGGCGCCGCCGCTGTCAAGGCCGCAGGGCTGCAGCATTGGCAGAGCATTCGCAGTGCATTCTTGGCATGCGTGCCGTGTGCCCTTGTAAATGCACCGAGGCGACACTCGACGCGGTTTCCAATACGGTCTTGGCAACGACTTTGCTACAAGGGCTCGCGATGGCCGGTGTTTCGAACGTTGACATCACGGTAGCTCACCTGGACTGGCACTTTGCATGCGCTTTGTTGGGCCGTCGCCTTGAATCTCAATCGAACCCAATGAGGTCACAAGCGTGGCCACGACGGTCACAAGCGACAACCCTGCCACCACTCCGACGACGACTACGACTACGACAACCACCACAACTACGACTACGACTTCTTCCAGCTCCGGTGCAGGAGGCCGTCAAACGAGACTTTGCTGTGACTGCCCCCATTGTGCCATGGCCTGAACAGGAAATCAAACTGGCGGAGATGACTCTGCAGTGATCGTTGTGATAATCGTTCTTTGTGTGGTGGCTCGGACCAAGATGGCTGCAACACTCGCTCAGTACCAGCGGTGAGCGGTGCTTCTCTGCTTTCCAGGTCTTGATCGCCTGCCTGTTGCCGGTGGGCGGCGTCATGTATCGGAAACAGGCCGGCTTTTGCAACGCAAAACCAGGCACTACTTTAGACCTTTAGGCTCTCCTTGCCTGAGCCTGAGCCTTTGAGAGAGCGCTGTCTGTGGGCTCGAGCCAGGTGTATGATGACCGCACGAGAGACATCTCGCTTCTGGATAGGAAGGTCGACGAGCCACTGCCTTTGACAAGCTACGAATGGGCATGGCTTGATCATTTTCTGTATGGGTGCACCAATCTCCGACATGTTGAGCATCCTGACTATGCTTGACCGCCTTCTTGTGAGGTTGGAACACGGACTAGACCAGCTCGATACGCAGGTGCTGTGTTTCTACCTGCGACATCGCTCGGGGAGGAATGATCTGTTCTCGCAACATCGCAGGTGGAGCTGTTCACGGGCAAATACCAGAAAGAGTTGAGCCCCTGGGCCCAAAAAGGCGGAGAAGCGAAGAAAGACGACAGACAGGCGGAAAGGGGAATGGTTTCTCTTGTGTGAGCCCAGGTCGGGGCTCGTCGCAAGCCACGTCAGCGCGCGGGGAGCAGGAGAAGGTGATGCAGGCCGTCGACAAGTACAAGAAGGAGGCCAGGTCGTTCCTTCAGGAGGAGTACACTCCAGAAATGTTGCGGCGCCAACCTCCGATCGAAGCCACCGCAAGCAAGACCTCGACCGCATTGACCGGTAAGCAGCCAGAGACGCTCCAGAGCCGGCTCTGGCCTACTATGCCCGCGACACCCTCCACGACCGTGCAAAGCCAGAAGAAGCGAGTCGAAGGGCTTGAGAAGGACATGACAGTAGCTCGGTTGCACATGTTGCACATGTTTGCTGCTTTTCATCACGCTCGCCTCCAGATTCGCTCAGGCATTAGGTGGGCAGTTCGCTGCTTTGGTGAAGCTTGTCTTCCCTCAAGGGCTGCCTGAGCTGCCCAATCCAGGCCCGGAAATATACGTTTTGACGTGTTGCAATTTTGCGCGTTCAAACTTTGGACTGGGTAGGTATCTTTGGCGCGATGCAGCCCGAGCCTGTAAACCAAAGCTTGGAACAGGACTGCTCTGCTATGCATGGATGCAGTTGCCTTGGCCACGGTGTCGAATCGCCGCAAGCTTCCTGCAAAGGAATCATCGCTGCTAAAGCCTTTCACCCATCCATTGCTGACCAGGGTTTCTGCTCAGACCTCAGTCGAAGCTCTGGGCCCAAGTGGAGGTGGGTGGAGCTGTCGCTGCACAGGTGAAAGCCCACGGAGTGCTGGGAGCTGCCGAAGGGCAGAAGGACGTGAAGCCGTTCACGCCGATCCCTGCAGTGCCGCGGCAGATCTCAAGTGTGTCGAACATGGACAAGTTTCGTGTATCCGCGAACGAAGGTGATCGTGGACCCAGCTGGCTGGAGGTATATAGGAAAGACAGGTGACGCCAAAGGAGCAGGCGGTGCTGCTGGTGCCGTCTATGACTGGCGCTTCGGCAGTTGTTCAGGTAACTGTAACAGCAAGCATCATTGTTGCCTCTCTTGACTTGCCTGTCTCGATAGCCGTTAGAATGAACTCGAACTGCTGCAACATGTGCATTTTCCATGCTTGACGAGCGAAGAACAGGCTCGGGATCAAGAAGACCACCGGCAAATTCCCAGTGGAGGTGCACGCACATTTCAACACTCATACCGTTGCCTGGATGCAATGTGTGATCTTTCCGGTAGTGTGGTGAAAGGGCCTACAAGATAGACATGGTGTGACCTGCATTGCTCCAGGAGGAAGAAGCGGAGCCTTGGTCTTTTTATGTTAGATCTGTTTGTCGAACCGAAGCGGTGGGGCACCGTGAAAGCTCTGGTCAGTGAGTAGTATTCTGAGGAAACTCGTGCCAAATACTTCGCGTACAACGATGGAATGCATGTGGTACACGTCATTGGGCCCAAAATCCGGGATCTTCAATCCGCACTCCATGACTTGTCCAGCCGCTTGGTCACTCACCATTCATGCTTTGAATGGCAGTTGGAACACAAGAGATAACACGAGAGTTGCATAAATTGCAGCCGAAGGGTTTGACAGCAGGACAGGAGGCATTCAGCAGTTCGTGTCAACCTAGGAACGTATGTTAACGTATTCGACGAGTTCTGCAGCATCTTCGAAGGGCCTGCAGCCAGCGGCAGGCCAACCAATCAGGCCTGCCATTGTGTTGAAGAGCTGCGTGTCGCTTATGCAGGTTGATGTTTGCGCAGGTGCTGCGGTTGTTACCCGTGTCATCTGGAATCTTCTTGCTCAACCGGAAGCCACTTAGTTGAAGCTGCTTCGTGTTGCCAACATGAGAAGCGCAGATAGCCGAGGCTGGATCGGTACATGGCGGAGATCACGTGGAGTGCTATCTCCTTGGCCTTTGGCATGATGCCCACAGCTCAGCAGGACGTGCTTAGGAACTCTTCCATCGAAGTCTGTATTTTCAAGAAGACCGAGTACAAGCTCTACGAGGCTTCACTTGCAAGCAAGGTGGCGCTTCTAGCGGGAGACAAGATGAAGCTGACTGAGACCATGGGCAGCGTCCCGAAGAAGTACGGAAACTTTGACTGGATCCGGAATAAGAACAGCACGAGCGACCGTCTCGAGAGGCTTGGGTGCTTCATCAACACGGCTCATGCTTTGGCCGGGGGCGGCTACACTTTGCCCTCTGGCGAAGCGGTTCCCCTCGATTCCAGGACTA